TAATAGTTATTATTATGGGTGGCTGTGGCTACAATGTAGCTTGCCATCACCAGTGTCTGAATGCGTGTGTGAATGGGTGGGTGACTGGATGTGTAAAGCGCTTTGGGGTCTTTAGGAACTAGTAAAGCGCTATACAAATACAGGCCATTTACCATTTTAGTTCTTTGCTGCACTGTGTGGTTCTGTAATTTTATAGTATTTCTTAGTTTCTCACTTTAATGAGTTCTTAGGAGATAAAAAAAAAAAAAAAGCAGCTCAAACTCGAAAAAGGCTTCAGGAATTCAGAGCAACTCTAGTGGTGTTGGCACTTTTGAATATATTTGCCTTTGAGAGTTTTTTTGAGGCAATATTTCAAAAACTAATTTTTTCAAGGGAAAAAAGGTGGAGTTCAGATGTGTACTGAGAAAGAAGATGCAATCCTATACTAAACTGCTTCTTTAGATTTGCTCTCTTTCGTTTACTGCCCCTCAACAGTGTAGAAGGCAGTGAGTATTACTATTTTGTGCTACTTTACACTTCATCTGGATTATATTTCAGATTTGGTTTTGTTCCTTTCACTGTATTGCATTTCAGGAATACACCATTGGACAGTTTGCAAACAGGATGGCATTTACAGTGTCACCAGAAGATGTTTACAATTTTTACAGCTCTTCTATTTGTATCTGAAAAGACTAAATTTGGCCAAATTATTATTTTAAATATGTGTATTAGTGAATTGCTGGAACTTCTAAATGTATGCAACAGCTGAAGACTTTACATATCACAATGGTGCACGTAAGGCATAATTATAAAATACATTAAAAACCATTAAACCAACAGGTACAGATCTTATGGGATTGTGACCATTTTCAGCAGATCCACCCATCAAAATAAACGTTTCCTTTATTAATCTTTTCACTTAAACAGCTGTGCAGACTTAACAAGAAACAAAATGTTCATAACTCGGTGCATAATTTGTAGTAAAACTTTCTTGTCATCACTTTCTTACCCCAGTCTTGCAAGCATTCAGATTTGTCTTAGTAGAAAAACTAGTCTCACACTAATGCATCTGCATCTACAATCTAAAAAAATGTAATGAAACCATCAGCTACTTTCACGTTTATTCTTTCTTTTCCTATCTAAACATTTGAATGCTGAACTTCTCTCCTCTATAACTTCTGACTTTGTCTTCACTGAACGCTGGTGGCCTGCCTCGCTTTGAACACGCGTCTCTGCGGTAAACCCGTCTGGGGGAGCGCCTGTCATCTCACCTGGGCTGTCACACACATTTAAAATCTGTGAGCTGCTGTTACACAGGCACTGTTTGCTTTATTTCATGCTCCACCTGTGGCACTAAACTTCTGTTTGTTTCATCCAGGACAAAGACAAATGAAATCTTGACTACTTCATTAGTTTTGTTGTTTAAAAAGACTAAATGTATTGTAAAGTACCGCGTTGTGGTGTGGTAGTGGATAAAGATATTAAGATGCATATATTCTGGGGAAAGAAAACATGCAGTATAGTACCAGATTACCCAGTAGTGATGGCTTTTGTTACCACCAGATGACAGTATTTATCCGCTTGTCTGGACAGGACATCTATAGACCCCTAGTGGAAGGACAAGGAACAGGAAGGTCTGGAAGGGCCTCATCTATGTAGAGGTTTTCACCTAACTACTTGTATGGAAATGTAGAAAAAACAAGTCTTCAGAGGAGTCGAACAAAAAACAACCGGAGTGTTGCGATCTGAGAAAGCAAGAAAACACAGCGCATGAAGAAAAGTAAAGGCAATTAAAAGTAAAAGTAATTACAAATACGCTCATATTCTCCTTAAAGCCTCTTAAAACTTTGGATTCAGAAAGATAATTTATTAAAACAGCAGAGGAATATTATCCTTGGAATATTTATCTCACAGTGCAGTGAGCGGGCAGAGTCACATGCATGATAGAAAAGGTCAATGAAATGGATTGAGTGTGGAGAAAATCATTGCACTTTTTTTCTCTGCCAAAAGGTCTTCAGTGGCATTAATGTCCTGCTCTCTCTGAAATATAATGAAAGATTTTGTGTGTGCAAGTGCGTGTGCGAGTGTGTGCGAGACTGGTTTAGGTCTACTGAGTCTTCATTACACCAGAGCTGGGTCCACTCCTGTCCTCTGCCCTCGCTCATTGCCTCTCCCAGTGCCGGCCAGGAATAATGAATTACAGTGGATGCCATGGGGGGGCTGAGTGAGTGGCTCAGAAGTGGACTCCATTTTAGCTCAAATTACCTCTCAGATCCATTCAAATGGCAGTCTCGGGCTGCTCTCTGCCTTCTCTGCGTATTCCTCTCTGAGGGTGAAATGATCCATTCACACCTTTTCTCCCTTTAAGTGGCTGTGATTCTCTTTTTGGTCGCAGTTCCTCCAGTGCTCTGGGTAAAATCACGGGGGAAAAAACCCCAAACAAATAAAAGTATGAACGCTTAAAAACATTAAACAGACTGATACAGAATCATCATTAGAAGTGTTTGTGTCGTGTGAGATTTATCAGTTCAGTCAACATGCTCAGCCTTGTGTGCCATTCCAGTTGATTCCTTTTCTTCCACCGCAGGACAATAATAAAATGACAGCATAAACCTCAGGTGATGGCACATTATGCATGCCATCCAAACAAATCCTTCCCAGTGTAAATTAAACACACCCAGTGCATCCTAGCGCCCAGATCAGACTCTGTAAATCGACCAGGGTAATAATAATAATAATAATAATAATAATAATAATAACAGCTGAATAAAAGGTAATGGAATAAATCAAGGTGAGCATTTCCATTGCGAGATCTATCCTGGGAGGCAGACAACAACATCTCACGAACAGAGAGAAGGCTAAAATTTACACCACAGGTCAATATCCGTGTGTATTCTTTAGTTTTCTGAAAGAAAAAGAAAGAAAAAAGAATTAAATAGTAGGAGATTCATTTAAAAATAAAATGTGGATTTGAGATTCAAGAAGATTAGCTGCTTGTGGCCATTAGCTGTATCAATGAAGCACGTTTAAAATTTTACAATATTAAAACATATATACATATATATAAGCCCTTACGTTTGCGTGATTTTACAACTAATGCGGACAGTCTGCTTATGTCTTACTGTATGTCGCCCGTGTGTATATTGTCAAATAGGCTAACAGACTTCATTTCCATATACCAGTAATCTAAGACACGCTTGCAGCCCTACTTAGGATGCACTAAAGGTCGATGTTTGTCATGTTTTAATTAGTGTTCATTAGTACGCGTAAGCATAATTCAAGCAACAGGATTGCAGTCTATCCACTTCGCTCCGGAGAAATGCACAAAGTTGGCAGGCTAAACCCATGTGGGAAAGTTCTTGCGTCTAAAATGTCCTTTAACGAGCCCCTCTCCTGGTAGGTGACAAATTCACAACATATAAGTTACTGGGGGGTAAAAACAACTCAGGTGCACTGGATGGGACGGGGTGCACATGGTAAATACAGCGGAGTCCAGAACTATTTTGGCGACTTTAACGGTAAAGGGCGCGATGCCACACAAGGAGCCGGGTCAAATATCCGCTTATGACTGACCTCCTTCCACTATAATTAAAGTTGCTGGACGCGGGGACATAACTTAAATTGTATCTCGCAATTAAGAGCCTCGGTATGAACAAATGAAGAAGCACTGATGCCGATGCTTGATTTAATCCCTTAGCATTTACCACTCGCACTAAATGTGTAACTTTAAAATCTCTGTGATGGGATATGATTACATCTAACTTGTGGGTTTGGCGTTTGTAACTGCCCGGACGCAAAATCCGAACTGGCTGGGGTAAATCTACTTTCAGCTTAACATAAACGCGAATACGATTTGTACTATTATTATTTTTTAAATATATATGTATAGATTTTGCCATAATTTAAGAGGAATTTCTCCTCTTCGTCGTTTTAAAGGAAATAAAAGTTACAGATTTGGTTATGCAGTTAAACGATCACACGTTTAACTGCACTTCCTGCGGACGTGAGGTTCTTCTAATAAAATTTAATAAGCTCATATAACGACAAAGAACAAATATGAGTTTCAGCAAGTGATTTCCACCTGTCTTTGTCCCACTTGTTCCTTGCTTCCCCGCAACAGACAGGTGCACGAGGCATGCGGACAATCCAAAAACCGCAAAGCTTCCCGGATGGCCCACACAGGGGAATCAAGGACCCCAAAAAACTTTAGGGGCCAGCGAGCTGAGCTGATTGAACATAAGGTACACACTACTTCCTTCTTCTTCTTCTTTTTTACATTACACTGGCTTTGCTTTGAGGTCTGTTTGGCGGCACATTTTCATTCATAAATGCCCCCCCCCTCTGGTCCCTCTCAAACTGAACCTGTCCACCCCCACCCACACCATAGCCTATTTGTTCTGTATGACTGAGAATGTAAACCCATTAACCTTACAGAAATAGCCACCACGTGCAGTTCATTCTTTGCTGTCCGAAGTAAGACGTCCCGACACGTGAAAAGTCCCGCAGACCAGCCACAAAACTACAGTAGGAGAAGAGCTCTGTGGGCCTGACACCAGTTGAGCGTCACGCAGATAACTGTGCGCTTTATGTACCTACAGGATTACAGAGCGGACCCTTAGAGGCTTTTACACTCTGTGAAAAATAGCCAGTTATTATTAAAGATATGAGGATCTTTACAGTGTTATTTTCTGATGTGTATATAAGTACAAAAGCACACTAGAAAAAGGAAATTCTGATCTTTAACGGGATACAAAGCGAGAGTTGCGTGCATAGTGAAGTTTCTTTTTTCACCTTAAAACCTTTAAAACCACTTTAAAATCTTTTATGGCTGTTAATGAGGCACTATGGGTCATTAACAGTATCTCTGAGTTATTTCAAAATAGAAGAAAGAAGGTGCGCAATCCTTTTTTTTAATGCATGAAGATTTTTTTTTTCTTGCAGCCGCTGTAAGGAAAGGATTTTCTGTTCAAACTTTTATTCCTGTTGCTGCACTTTATATATCTGTTGCATTATTTTTTCATTCTTAGAGATGGTTGTTCTGTTCGCTATAGATTTTGGTTGTCCTTAAATTTATATTTTAAAATCTAATTTTCTCCTTTAAACCTTAATCTCCGGATCAGAATTATGTTATTTCTCTCTCTTGTAAAGAAAAAAAAAACAACGACTTTGAATCACAGTAAGCATAAGCAGTTTTCTTTTCCCCCTCCCCTCAGAAAACAGTTAAATAGTTGCAAAACAATCCAGAGTGGCACTGATTGGCAAGAACAGAAATTTGATTTGTCAAAGATATAAGCTTTCTATGTCTACAACCCACACAGTATGCACCACAGCTAGGTTCTCCAAATCTGTGTCTCTTATGCGCAAAGAGAAAACTTGAAAAGAAGAAAAGTTTTGCCTATTTTTCCTCTCTAAAATGATGCAAATAAAGATTGGAGTGATGCTGCTTCGTGTCTAAAAGAAAATGCACTTTTTCACTTTTTACCCTAAAAATACAGATAAAATAATAATAATAATGATCAGTGACCATCAACTGGTATTATTCATTGTATTAATTCAAGAGTTTGCTGATGGGAAGTCAGCTGCATTCAATTACCCTTCATCTAATTTAGCTGAAGCCTTAATTGCGCTCAGGGTGGTGCGGTTGTTTGTGCTAAGCTCTGTAGACTTCTGTGGAGAAATACGACCCGCCTCTTAAGAACAATCCAAATTCAAATGAGACTTATCTACGCCAGACTGATCAGACGGATTAAGAGTTATTAAAACCTATAAAGGGCTGAAAGCAGAAGATTCAGCAGCCCCAAAGTCCGCTACGTGGCGACTCTAGAGGATTTCTCTGTAAACACAATCAAACCACGGGAAGAAAAATTATATAGACATCATCTACATAGAACCTGTGATGAATAAGCAGCTGTGGAAATTATATACTGCGCTTTTTCCACTGGAAAAAGGGAGCATAAAATTAATCAAACGGATTTAGAGAAACACCACCTGAGCATGATTTTGCTTTAAAAATCTAACAATGTAAACTTGGAGGAACACCTACAGTATTTCAGCCCAAGAAGGCAGTTTTGTAAAGACTATTACTACAATTGTATCCATGTATCGATGTCAGATACCAAAAAACTGCTTTTGTTTCTTATCCATGTGTTTCTTTTCTTTGGGATTTATCCTGTTATGGTTATATCTGAAACACTGCGAAGACCGATTCTGGAAAATTCCGGGGAAACAATGAAAAAATAGATACTGGTGTCAAGTCCCTCTAACCTATTTTATATTCCGATGAACCACACTTCTAAAACTGATTGACTTTTTGTATTGCCCACTAAATGCAGCTCGGCCAGCTTTCTAATCTAGTCTAATTCGGCTGCCATGCTCTTGGCCCATAATAAAAGAGTGGGCAGCGAGCTTCTAGGCCCACAAAACCACGACAATGAAAAAGAAAAGAGAAAAAAGAAAGAAAAAAATCATACAGGATCATCAAATAGAAGAGAGGTGCTTTTAGGTTTTGAAAGGCACAGGAAGCTGGAGGATTTGGTTAGACCCCTGCAATGGTGACAGAGCTGATATTAGAGACCCCCATTCATCTGGAGGGAGGGGTGGTGTGATGGAGGGGGTGCATCTGCAGAGGGCCCACCGCCCTCTGATCTGTGAGCTGGCACACATCACGGCGTCCATTCACAAATCCTCCTTCTGCGCGTCACCTTTTGTAGTACTCCATAGTACTGAGCGCTGGTGACGTATAAGACAATCCTACCCAGAAAAATACAGAGGAAAAAAAAATAGGTTATAGGAACTCAAGGACAGGGCACATGCGCACAATGCGTGCGATACATTATAATAGTAGGAGGGGTATATGTCTGTATATATGCGTGTGTGTATGTGCGCGTGTGAGGTAGAGGGGAGGGGTATAGAGCTATAAGTGATTATGAAACACACCTGGTTAGTGTGTATATACGTTGCACGCAAAATATGCATTCAAAGACAGGGAATATTAACCCTTTCAGGGCAAAAGAAGAGATGCCCCAATGCTTTTTTTTTTTTTTTTGCAGACAAACAAAAAGACAGAAGAAAACGGAAGCATTCACTTATTTAGTAGAACCTGACAGATATGACAAGTACAATAATCAATGTTTCCTGCTTCCGTGAACAAGAACAGAATATAATCGTAAGAAATGCCCATTTTATAGGCTATGTTTTAACCATAAGGCGGCACCCGGGATGCAGAATTCAAGAAAAGCTAACCAGCTAAATGAATAATGTTGAACCTATATGTGGGAGGAAAAAATCCTTATAGCGGGATCAAGAATTTTTAAATCTTTATATCTTTGATTAGAGCTTTGACGGGCCTGCTGGAGGCTATTTTGGAGGTTACCTGGCAGCATGTTAAAGAGCAAATGATGGCAAACAGGGTCCAGGAAATGAAAATATTTCACATGTTGTGTTCAAAATGTTAAATGGTTGCAGGGGATGCACTACAATGGTTAGGTTATAACAGTAACTATAAGATTATAAGTTGATTGATTGGGAAAATAGCACAAGCAAAAATAAAGTAATTGTAATTGTTCAGTAATTTGATCATCTACTTGCGTGTGGAAAGTCTGGGCCCAGGCTTGGTGAGGCAGGGGGGACTGATAAGTTACCGTCGTTAAGGCTTGTGATTTAAAAATCACGTTTTACAAATCAGTAAATAAGGGAAACAAAGCGCATTCTGAAGAAAATGCAGTGGCGCCACCAAATCACCACAAGAGCCGAAACAGAGAAAGTAATATAGCAGCTCTCGTTGGCTGTTCTGGCATATAAGCGTGCCAAAACAGGCAAACATGAATAAAAGACCGTGCCAATAAAACACAGCTTTATAGATGTCAGTTAACGCCTGCCTATATTTAAAGTATTGATGAGAATATGTCGATAACTGAATTGTATGGTACTATTTTAACCCCTAATAAACCAGATCAGACCGTCCTGGAAAATATAATTTGACAAAAACCCGAAAAAGGTCGACCAGAAAGTCTCGTTAGCATCCAGCACCACAGAAATGTTCAGCAGGCAAAGCAATAACTGATTATTAGGAGCTAAAACAGAGCACGATCCTTTTGTCTTTTCATCAGTCATACTCAAAACAAGCCAGTCCAAAGTGGGCAGACAATAGTGAATCAGAACCCCCACAATGACCGGGATTATGGGTTTGTACAGCATAAAGAAATAAGCATGTGTGTTCCAGATTTGAGTCAAAACCTTGTTTTCGTCTAAAAACTGCAGCAGGCTGAGATGACTTCCTTGCACCGCACAGAAGCAGCACTGAGAAATAGCTCAAAGAGTCATTATTTCCAAATCCGACTTTCAAACAAATCTCGTCCTTTGTTTAAAAACGCTTCAACAATATGAGCCAATGGAGTGATATTAGTGGACGCTCTTTCACTCTAAAGACAAATAATATTTCAGGCTTAGATTCGTTTAGATGTGCATATTTTTAGTGCACAAAGGCCCCTATTATAATTCAGAGTCTGAAATGGTGTCATTTCCTCCAGACATCCCTGTTTTGCTATGAGGTTAGAGGCCAAGCCCAGGCGGTAGCGGCCTGTCTGTGAATCCATTGTGTGCTGCTTATTTAGCGCTCAACATTAATCTGCGCTTCCCCTCACAAGTGAGAAACAATCGCAGCGTGAGAGTGGCCTGTCTAATTACATCTTTCACTCCCAACTTTCACTGTTTGGATTGGGCCCTTTTGTGACTGGGGAGATGTTAGACGGGAGCAGAAGGTGCTGCTCAGGTATGGTGTAAAAATACTAAACAGAAGCAGCATTATCACAAAGCAAGAATTTTATTTTAAATCAAATCAGCTAGAAGCATGTGATGGTGCACTTTGCAAATCTCTGCAAATAGGAGCTGGGCATAGCCGTGGAAACGCGCACTGTGTGAACTCCAAGAAAATATTTTGCTGTGCTGCTTCACCGCTATTGCTTTGCAAAAAATAATAGCCTGTATTTAACAAGTGAGAAAAAATAATCAAGGAAATTATGTCTCCCAAGGGGGGGAAAACGGGCATAGACAAAACCAGCTTAAATTACAGATTTTTGCGTTGCACAAATAGAAATGAAAACAGCTTTGGACTCTTTGGACTTCTCAGCCAACCTTCACAGTTTCCCCAAACCCAAAGCATGTGCACAAATCAAATCAAATAAATACATCACATCAGAGCAAACTGCCGGCTTGTGGTGCCCAAATAATTAGCTAACACGAGGAAACAGGTTATGTGTCCTGAATTAATTTGAAGAATCTAAGAGGCGCCAGCCTGAAAACCTAGTGACTAAGACAAAGCGTTTTTCTAATAATAAAAATAAGCCAGCCGAAAAACTCCTCACTCAGTCTCAGTCTTGCTGCTCCTCGGGTCATCCCCGATCCACTCTGGCTCTCTTTCTTTTTTTAAAATGCACTTCTCCGGTTCAAACGCCAGAGAAGAGCCGTCCTCGCGAGCCGGTGGCGTCCTGGGAAGTGAAGCGCAAACTTGGTGCTGGTCAGCAAAGTTACTCAAAGTTTTGTCTTTGGCGCGACTCTGTAGCACCGCGCACAAAACAGTTTGTTTGCATCACTGATTTCTTTTAAAGGGATATGGACCCAGTTCTTGGTCGACCGCAGCGTCACGACAGGCGAACATGAGAACATCAAAAATACTCAGCGCACTTCCCCGTGCGTTTGAAAGCAGACAGGGAAGACTCTTTTGGCTGTCACGTTTTAGTTTTGATGCAATTTGTTGCCAGTTATGAGGCGACTGAAAGCAACATGACACATCCGACCACCCTGCACATCAGTGATGAGTAAACAGAAAATCTGCTGTTTATTTTAGGGATAAAGGGCATAAATGCTTGGAGATTAAGTTGCATTTTTTAAAGTAAACACACATACATTACTTTTAGGTGAAAATATGAGCACGTAGACACCCAGAAAAAAGGCTATCCGCATTTAACCTTGGTCAGGACGGAGTGTTCTCAAGCCTTAGTTGACCTTACGAGTGCTCTAACTACATTTAATAAAGCTAAATTGTAATGTATAAACTCAACAAGTAGTTATTTTATTGTTGTAGTGTTTTCAGATGGCATTTTAAAACACGCTTCAAAGATCTTCATATCACGCATCCCCACGCATGTCTGCATTGGACCAGTTAACCATTTTGTTAAAATTCCGTCTCATTTGCCTTCATATGAGTAAATCCTTACTTCTTATTATGTTAAAATGAAACTGTATTTAATTGCGGACGTGCATAAAAGTGTCGAAATTAAACTTTATACTTATAAAAATGTTAATGGGTAAAAATATATATATACGTGTATAAATGGGCTATATAGTAAAAATTGCTACTTGTGTTATTGGGAATCCCTGCTTGCCCTGCAAGCAAGGAACCCCGGGGGTCCCCGCAGCTCAATTTGACAACCGATGCTCCAGTGTCCTATTGTTTTAATATACACGACAAAAACCGACATGCATGGCGTTTTTAAATTGAAAACCCCAAAGCGCCCCAAAATAGAATAAAATAAGTCACAGATTCATAAACACTGATGAAATATTGTGAGTATGTGGGTGCATGCCTTGGATTTAAATTAGGTCTCTTCTCCTTTAGTCCAGCACTCTTTCTCTTTTACTAAGGAGAGGATGGGCGTTTGTAGACTGCTCTGGAGCCTGCGTCACGTGGCCTGGTTTCTGCCGTCCTATTGGTCCAAGGCACGTGTCTGGGAGGACGGTGGGAAAACGTCACTCGGGGGGCTCGTATTGAAAATAAGAACAAAACTCCAGAGTGAGAGTATTAGAGCATCAGTTTAGGAGCCTCTTTATTTACCCTTAGTTTAGTTTAGGTGTAGGCATTACCGAGCACGCTGATATTGGATGACACTAAATTGGATGGTGCGCAAATGGCAAATGTTTTAGCTGTGCGAGATCAGTTGTAACCCGAGATTGGGGGGATATATGTCAAAAAGTATGCTTTTCTCAGAGGACACAGTCGCAAGGCTTTGCATGGTGTCCGAGGCACTCACTAGCATTTGAGTTTTCTTTTTTATTTATTTTACTCGTGCAGTTTTTGCAGTCTAATTCCCCTAAAGTTGTTCGCGAATTTTATTGCAACGGGGAGAGCGATAAAGGGGTTAAAGAGAGTAAAGCGGGGGAAAGTGAATCAGTATGGAAGAAAATGATCACGGCAACAGAGATGTGGTGGAGCGGCAGGAGTCGGCGGACGAATCAAACAGAGCCATCCTTCCCCTCTTACAGGCGCCGGGGAACTTGCAGATCCCTCACCGGGTCACCAATTTTTTCATCGACAACATCCTGCGGCCGGATTTCGGACGGAAAAAGGACGGTGGCGCAAACCACGAAGAGAGTAGCCTTGCGTCGCGGGAGAGCCACAACAGCCCAACCGCCCCTCAGACCGAACCGGTGGGGAGCACTGTGCCAGCAGAAGGGACCTCCACTCCACACACGGTTACCGGGACCAAGAAGCCTGCTATAGCCGCCGAGGAGCCCCTGAAACCCCGCGGGGAGAATGGAGACCAGTGCCTAAGCTCAGACTCAGACAGTTCCCAAGCCAGCTCAAACCCATCCATGTCTCAGCCCATGCTGTGGCCAGCCTGGGTCTACTGCACCAGATACTCGGATAGGCCTTCTTCAGGTTGGTGTGCGTTTTTTTTTTAATTTTCTATACCGCTTTCTCGGTAACCTGAAATACCCCGTAACACTGACCCCGAATGCCTTGACCGACTTCT